AAAAAAAGAGAGAGAGAGAGAGAGAGAGAGAGAGAGAGAGAGAGAGAGAGAGAGAGAGAGACGGAGGGGAACCGCATTGAATTTTCATTTTATCTCGTATGTTTCACCTCTTACACGCGGCCTGCGCTTAAGGACGATACGCATTCCGCGGGATATACTTTTCGTGGCTGTCCATCGCGATTACGCGCGCGCGAAAATCTTCCGAGTCGCTGCTTGGAAAAGGCGCTTCCGTCACGGACGAAGACCCGTTCGAGCGTGATTCGTCGGTCGGGATAGATACATTTTCCCGTGGCGGTGCTCCAAGAGCTTATCCGCCTGCAGCCAGGATAACTCAATCCGACAGTTGCACAGGATGTTCATCCGATCGTTCTTTTGTCTTTACTCGCAGTAAAATAATACTGGCTGCTCGATCCTCGCTCGCGATGCCTGCGATCGGTGTGTTCCGGTCCCGGTTGCGATGTCCGCAATGCGCACTATCTTCCGCGTACGAGAACTCCTCCTACTTCTCAGCGAGGAGCTCGAATGAACGGAATTGCGAGGAGGTTTTGTTGGATCGAGAAATACGACGTTTTCGTCGTACCACATTGAGCAAAACTAGATATAATTATATGGCTCACATCACTAATCCTCCGCGTGCAATTATATTTTTTAAGACATACAGTGCAATTTCGGCCTGTCAGACTTGAGTAACTTTGTTGAAAATCGAAGTTTCGATTTTTCCTCAGAAATATAGAAAAGTCTCAGCTATAAAATAATAACGCAATAATATATGCCAACAGATTTGTTTTATTTTGCAATTTTCTCGAATTTTTTATGAAAGTTTGTGAACGGCTGAATATTCCTTCGAGTCTCACAGATCCATCATTGTGTGCGAAGAGTTAATCCTCCGCGTATAATTATATTTTTTATAATATATGATACAATTTAGATTTGTCAAAATTGGACAACTTTTAACTACTACAACTTTCTTAAAAATCGATATTTGTAGAAAAAACTTTTTCCAAAAACTTAAAAAAAGCTTCAACTATAAGATAATGGCTCGATAAAATTCAAATCTACAAGTAGATTTGCGCTATTTTGAAATTTTCTCGGAATCTTTACGAAAGTTGATAAGCGATCGAGTACTTTTTCGGGTCTCACAGACCTATCATTGTACGCGGAGCGTTAATCCTCCACGTGTATATTTTTGAGACATACAGTGCAATTTGAACCTGTCAGGCCTAGGCAATTTTGTATCACCCTACAACTTTGTTGAAAATCGAAATTTCAACACATTTTTTCTAAAAAATATAGAAAAATCTCAGTTATAAAATAGTAATAATATCAATATTTTTTTTGCCAACAGACTTGCATTATTTTGCAATTTCCTCAAATATTTTACGAAAGTTTGTACGGCTGAATATTCCTTCGGGTTTCACAGACACATCATTGTGTGCGAAGAGTTAATCCTCGGCGTATAATCATATTTTTTGTAATTTCTCCGCACATAATCATATTTTTTGAAATATATACGATACAATTTAGTAACAACTAGGTAACTTTTAACTACCACAACTTTATTGAACATCGATATTTTTGAAGACATTTCCCTCAGAAACATA